GTTGCAATCCAGCGGTCTAAGTTTTCGTAGTCTTTCCAATTAGGAGAAAAAATGAAGTACTGGAAAATAACTGACATTAATGATTTGGAATGAGTGGCTCATCATGGCGATGAGCATGTTCAACAGTACGATGATCGAGGTGCAGTGATACATGATAAACATTGCCCGACCGACTGATTGCGTCAGGTGATGGTTCTGAAGATGAGGTGAATTACGGTAAGGAGCATAAAAGGTTGCATCAGTCAGCGCCAACCTCAGCAACATCGGTATCCTCCACTTTGGTGATTGAAAACAATGACCATAGAAGTGTGAGGTACGAGTCGGCGATACTAAACAGTGATAAATTAGGTCATATTCTAATTAATATTATATTGATAATATTACGCTTATACTAAGTAGCTATGTCGTTTCTTACTTTCTATTAGTATTGATTTATGTCCTGAATGACTAATTGTTTTAAGTAATAGAGCATATGTAGCGCAGATGTTAGAGGAGCTACCAGTAGCTCGGACTTCCTCCGTGCCGTGATAGCCTTCTATATCGCTCCTACGAGGGAGGACAGATGATAGCAAATGGTTTTGAATAGGCGCTCATGGCCTTCAGGGGGCCATTCTGTGCAGACCCTTTCAGAACCGCGATGAGGTGATATTAGGGCTGAGCCAGGAAAGGGGAGAAACGTCAGGGAGAACAAAAACTGCTCACGTCTTCCCGCAGAGTTCCTTGCTCTCCATAAAGCTTAGTCCCAAGTACTGCAGCCCTCTCTTGACTGCCCTACTTGAAGACATGACCGCCTATGAGATAAAAACGCTGAGCTGCATTGGCTACCGTAGGTCATAGCATAGGTGAAGTGGAATCCTACCGTTCCCAATTTTGGTATGTGAAGAGAAGGCATGGCGCATCCCAAAATTCCTAGTATTTGTCATAAAAAGTCAGTTGAAAACTATGAAATAGCAGCTTACGATGAGAACACATTCGATTCAAGCGTACAATCGTCGGGTGTCATGCACACTGGTGTGTCCGGGTCGTAATACCTGAAATACTATGGAATAAAGGAAAGCCTTTTCTTATAGATTTCGGCATTTTTATGACTTTCAGAGGCTTAAGTCGAAAGCTTTTTGCTGAAAAATTTGAAAAGTACCGATTTGGAAATAATTTTGTTACAGTATTGTGAAACTTACCAGTAAAGTTGAGCTAAACCGATGCTAAAACTGCTGATAATCAGAACGAAAATGAAGCAGAACTTGGCGACATCGACCAGCATACATCCCAGGGAGATCTGTAAAAAAGGCCGTTGGTATGGCGCAAGATTTATTCTAGTAGTAAAACTCTAGTCTTGATTACAACATCGACTTGTCACTGACACCAAATTAAGCCCCACAACTTTTTTCCGAGAACTTTTCTGGACTAAAAAAAGAGTGGGGGGGGGTTATTCTTCAATTCCGCTTTTGAGGGAAAAATAATTTTGGAACCGTGACTAAGGCCTTGAATAATTCCTGCTGAGGGAATGCCAGTAGAACAGCTTTTTTTGCAATTTTTATGTTCGTCTTACATAGATGAATGATGCTTGCCCACCCTTCCTCCCCCTTTGGTTTCTTATACTGCCACCAGTACAGATAACTCTTTTTCAGATACGTGGGTTTTGAAAGAGCCTTGCGAGACTACGAACTAGTACTGCGATCGCGTTCTATGCGCTCTCACTGGGATCTGAACGTCTATTACTCGAAGATTCTCATTCTGGGACAGGAAAGGTGAGTAATTTGCATGGATTGTTGTTGGAGCAATCACAATTTGTCGAGAGAGCAGCTTTGCTGTGTAGCATTACTATCGGTTTGGCGTCCGAGTAGTAGGAACCTCAGTTTGGGCTGGAATGGCTTGTTCAAAAATGGAAATAATGGTTAGTGGTCATCCCCGCAAGAAGATGGGTTCTCCTGGGTGTATCTGACAGCAAATAGGCACAAACAGAAATCGATAGTAATGCGCATTCCCATCATATTCCTGTGGTCCGTAGCTTTGAATCAACGATTGTGCGAATCTTATAACTAAGAAATTTCTCTGTAGAAAGTATGTATAAAACCGCAAGAAAAATCATCAAGATCCCATCATAGAAATAACATCAGCGCCGTTTCCATTCGAACTTAAAGGCACATTACACCCACTCGAAAGATGGTGAACATCGCGAAATAGTGTAAAAGTCATTAAATTTTTTTTTCAATTGTATGAACAATTTCTTAGAGCAAACTTGGCCCTCACCTGTAACGGTCCGAGGTACGGATTAGTCTGGAACAAGTAGATGATCCGAGCGAAGCTAAATTTGATCGATAAGAAATATTATCAA